CAGTTGTGATCAAGCAATGGCAGTCGCCCGTCTTTTCCAACCCATTTCAGCAAGAAAATTCCAAGGTCTTTCGCTGTAACTAGCGTCCTTTGAATAATTTCAATCTCTGAACTTGTTCATTTATTAAAATAAATTCGAAAAACAAAAATCATTGTATAGCAAACCACCGAATTCACAGTCAGTACTTACCCAAGTTTTGCGACATCTGCCATTTTGAATTTTGAAAACCGCTGACCTGACTCATAACTTGACTCATGGCTCATTGACTCATGACTCATGACTTACTGACTCATTGACTCATGTTTACCGAATACTCAGCATTGGGAGATTCAGCGGTACTATATTCAGGTGAATTATAAACAGGATATCTACAGGGTTATAATTTGCACAATACATGCCAGTGGCTACAACTCCTTTTTTCTTTGCATGCATCACATGCCTATGTTGCTACGGTTACCTGTATAGGGAGAGTATTTAAAACAGGAATTAGCATAAAATCCTACTATCTTGAAGCCTCAAGGCCTACGCAAAAAGTTTGAGATAACGGGAGTTCAAGATAACTGCCAATAGTGCACGTAAATGACTGAAGAGTACATTCAAGGGAAAATGGGTGTGAGTTTGAGATAGTGAGGAGTTTGAGTCATATTAACAGAATTTGAGATCGCAAGGTTCTATTGTATATACAGGTAACTTCTGATCTAAAGGTGGGCTGGCTACGGGAGGTATACAGCAGTAGTAATTAACTTTGGTACTGTCAGTTAAAAAAATATTGTTTACGTAGAAGATTTAACTGTTTTGATTTAATTTTCAGGAAGACTCTTGAGCATGGAAAGCATGTTTTGGTAGATTTTCCTTTATCTTTGACAGCTCAGAGTGGTAAAGAGCTTTTCAACCTGGCTGAAAGTAAAGGTAACACTTTGGATGATGATTAACGTACAAAGCCAACTTAATGTATAGGACTTATGTACACAGATTGCTCATATTGATATTAGGAGTTCTAAAATATGGGGGGGGGTGCTCATTTTGTTCGCGATATCTGTCTCTTTTTATGCCTTTGACTGTTTGTACCGACCATTGTGAAGCACTTTGGTTCTTTGTGAAGAAAAATTCCCTGTTGAAAGAAATAACATATAGGCAACAGTTGAGGATATTAGAGGAAGCCATTTCTCTGTAATAACCACATCACCAAAACTGGTATTTTAAAGTTCAATATATAATATAATGGATTCACCCCTCTTTGAATTACATGCTGCTGATTATTGCTACTATAAAGCCCTTGGTCTGCATGCATTGCTGGCCTATAATGCTGGAATAGGTGGAAATTTTACCCAGGAGTTATCCGTTAAGCTGCCATGGGGTGACACGAATGTTTTCTGGGCATAACTAAAACAACACATTTTAGCACTCAGAATACCTGAAGTTGGTTTCAAAAAGTACATGCATGTTTCAGTTTTAAAACATGATTTGTTTATAGCCCATTGCAAAAACATGAGAGGACTGGGAAAGAGTATGGTTGTTAATTTCTGTTTGTTTGAAAAACTAAGATATTCAAATGAAAGATCAACTAAATTTCAGAGTCTTAAGCAAGAATAGAAGTATTTAGAGGAGGAAAATGGCAAAATGATAGCTCTTCAAATATCACCTAAAATAGAGAGTTTGCATGGATTGGGTAGCCAGGCCACAAAAGTGTAAGGGTTTGTATGGAATTTTACAACTTTTGCAAGGCTCCCATTTGGACAATGTTCCACTGAAAACTCTCAAACTTGACTGGGTAGCTTTTCATTCAGTAACATTTCAGTTGAAATGTTTAGATTTTCAATCTAATCAATATAAGAAACTCGTCCCAGTCCTCTCACATTTTTGCAATGGGCTATGCGGAAACTGATGAAGAAAATTAATATTTGATTTGTTTGTTATCATCATTAATGATTGATCATTACCATTCTCACAAAGTAATAAGAAATATGGATGCTTTCAAGTTGTTCTTTGTTTTTTGCTCTGCTAATGCAGGACTGATCTGCCACGTGGAGGACATAGCCCTCCTTGTTCAGTCTCACCAAGATTTGAAGCAGAGCATCAAAACAAAAAATGTTCCTCTCCTTGAGGGCACAATTCGCTTGGATGCCAGATTCTCCTCTGAGTGGATTAGTGACTTAAGCCGTGCTGGGTTTCCAAGTTTCTCAGGGATATCAGATTTGGAGTGTTTAAATGATCTGTTTGGTGAGCTGACATTACAAGAAGCTCGCTTTGTGCATGAAACTGACCTTCAATCACTCACCTGCAAATTTTACAACGCAGACAACAGGTAGGTTAAATTCATGTCCAATTATGTAATTTTATTTATGTAATATTTAATTTATTTATTTATTCAATAATAATTTTTTAATTTATTTAATTTCTCCACTATATGTTCACTCCACTCCATAGCTTCCCACATGCTATAGAAACTATGATATAAAGCACTGGATCTGTGAGCCCGTGTGGTCCCAATGCAGTTTTTAATTTTGTTTTGTGTATAGGCCCTTGACATGGATAACAGAGAGAGTAAGGGATGGAAAAGTGAGACAATCACACAAGGAGTTTAAATTTGAAGATGGCACTGTCCTAAAGCCTGCACTTGTTAAACATCCTCCTCCAGCAACCCCCGGACACAAAGGACTATTCGCCAGGGATTTGGAGTTGTTTCTGGCTGAGATCCGGGGAGAGCGTAGCTCTGATGAAATTGCTGAAGACAAGAAAAGAGTTTTGTATTGCCTAGAGTTGGCAGAGGAAATAGAAAAAATGGCCAGGGCTGCAACCTAGAGAATCAAATAAGGTGTTAATTAGAGACTGGAGTTACGTGCCTCTTGCTCTTTTTAAATTGCTTTTGAGGTATGGTTACCAAGGGTTTATGCCAACTTTAGACTAGGGAGGGGAGGGAGTAGGAGGGCAGTTGCAAAACCCACTAACCAGAGCAACATAATTAAACTTATTAAGAAAATTTATTTTTGAATTACTAAATGTATTCATAAACTAGATTAGCACCAAATGATTAACAAATATGAGGCACCTAAAATGTGAATCTTAAAATTTTCATGGTCATGAAATGCTGTAGATCATTCCACAAAAACTTGGTGGAGTTGATGGAGTGATTGTCTTTAACCCAATGTACAGTTCTATTATTAATGATTGGCCTTTTGAGCAGAAGCAAGGCTGGAGATGACTTTGTTACGATGCAAACCTTGCTACTTTTCAAATGTATTAAAATTATCATGTTGTCATGCTAATTAGTTTCAAACCTTTATTATCTTAAGATCAGTCCAACCTTTCCCTTACAGAGAGGCTCTGTTAAGTTAGTAAATAAGGACAGACTGAGCTTTTGTTTGTACCCCGGGATGGGGGCTGTGCACTCCCCAATGAGGGGGTGGTCGTTGTACCCTGAGATGAGGGCTGTGCACTCCCCAATAAGAGGAAGGCGGTTGTACCCTTTGATGGGGGTTGTGCACTCCCCAATAAGAGGGTGGTCATTGTACCCTGGGATGGGGGCTGTGCACTCTCCAATAAGGGGGTGGTGGTTGTACCCTGCGATTGGGGCTGTGCACTCCCCAATTAGGGAGTGGTCGTTGTGGCTTGTTATGGCTCAGTTTGTTAATATGTAAACTGACCTTTGCTGGAGTTATGTTAGTACCTTGTAGAGTGCAAACCGAGCACCTTACCAGAAGGAAATGGGACCTATTAAGGGTGAAAATAAATTCGAACCACGCCCAAAAATTAAACGGAACTCTGGTGGCTTTTGGGTTCCTTGTAAAATTTCAGATGACCACACCTTTGTCAATTTTATATGGAAGTGCCTCCCTCCCCTCTTTGCCATTGGAAAGACAGAAGGAAGAGGCTATGCATACCCTAAATTTTGTTTCCCCTTGGCGCAACAAAACAGGCTGTATTTACCAAAAAGGTTTTATATGCAGAATTTGCAAAGCTGTTTCCTACAAATCGATACAAGACGAAGACAAACCAAGCTAAATATTGCTAACTGGCAGCCAAATTTCACGAACACTATCATATACATTAACATTTCTAAAACTCTACGTTCTTCAACCATTCCTAAGAGATTTTATGTTACACAGTAAATGGTTTGAACCCAGGAGTATCAGTAGTTCGTATAGTGTGATCGTCCGGGTGAGTGTAGGTCTGAAAAGAACTGTTGTTGGTGAGTGACGTTTCGACAACCTGAGCGCAAGTCATCTTCAGAGTCAAGTGAATAGTGTTTGTCAGTCGATGATGTTATAAGTCTGGTCCGTTGAACGTGATTGGTCAGTATAGCCATGATGATATTGGCTATAAGACTCGTGTAAAGTTTGTCATC